GCTCCCCATTCCAATACACATGCGCGAAGCATATCCTCCAATGTTTGTATCGTCCGTTCCGACTGTCCATCTGTCTGGGGATGATATGTCGTACTCATCTTCAGTTTCGTCCCCAACGCATCCTGTATTGCCTTCCATAGACGTGACGTAAATCGAGCATCTCGGTCCGAGATGATCTCGCTCGTTACCCCACGTAGTCTCACAATCTCATCAATGTAGATCTGCGCCAACTGCTCGATCGAATACTCCTGGAGTATAGGGAGGAAGTGAACAGATTTGGTTAGTCGATCCACGACTACCCAAATGGCGTTCTTCTTCCTCGGTGTAAGTGGTAACCTGACCACAAAGTCCATGGCGATCGAATCCCACTTCCATTGCGATATTTCCAATGGTTGCAATTTCCCTCCCGACATCTGTCGTTCTGCCTTAACCTGTTGGCAAGTGAGACATCTAGCTACATAGTCGGCAACATCCCTCTTAATCCTTGGCCACGTGTACAATCGGCATAGACCATAGACCCTGATACATCTTACTTGCCCCTGTATGTATCGCTAACCTCATCTGATGTGCCTCAGCTAATATCTCCTGCCTCAACGTGGGGTCATCTGGCACACATAACCGGTTTCCCAAACGCAATGCTCCCTTCTTGTGACGTCCGTAACCCGTGTCCCGCCCACGAGTTACGCCACATGGACGATCAAACAGTATATCAAAATAGTGGGAATTTTAAAAACATTTTTATATTATACATACGCAGCGGAAATATGTTTTTACGCACAAACCCACGTACAATAGACGTACACGCCATAACATAAAGACGGTGGATACAATATAAACCACAGTCGGTATACACCGCCGATAACAAAACAACCGTACATGTCTAGGAAGAAAATATACATGACCCGGGAAACACGTCTCACTCGTCACCAGTACCCTCGTCCTGCTGCTGACAAAGCTGCTCCGAGCCTGAAACGTTGCATAACAACGTCCATAAGCTATTTGCTTAGTGAGTACTTTGGGTTAAACCGAAGATCATACTCAAATTGCAAATGGCCAAGCACAAGCAATATTATACACATAATATGTACTATACATGTCCAAACATATCATGTCATAGCGTCTAACACATGTATCAAGCACAAACAGTCCGGATGACAAGTCATCGAACATTATCCGTCAAATCGTCTCTATGTGCGTCACACACATAGGATAACATACGGATCTGGTATCACCAGCCCATGACATACACAAGTCATAGCTTGACCCATCGGGTCTATCAGTAACACCGGTACCGTCAAATCATCTCTATGCGTGCATCACACACGTAGGCAAGAACTCTCCATGTGCAATGCACAATCCCCTCACTCTCCTCGGCCGAAACCGGAATAGTAAAAATGCAACAACCCAATGCCCAACACCTCATAAAAACGTATCACATCAACCATCCTCTCTGATATCGATGTCACTTCTCGATACCAGAGCGCCATGTGCCTCCTCCAGGCCACCACCGACTATGTCGAGCGAAGTCAGTCAACAATTGACAACCTCTCGCCGGACATCCGCCACGGAAAAGCTCATCACACCCGAGCTCAGGTCTTTCAAAGTATTTTCGCATAACCTCGTCGGGAGAATCTCTCATCCCCGAGTCACGGGTAAATGTATGCTAGTCTCTGCCGAGAGAATTACTCAATCCCGAACCCGCTCCATAGCTAGTGGAACGTTGGCGCGGTCACGGAGTAACCATAAAGTTTCCTCAACCCCGTGATAACCGAATAGCTCAAGACTATCACGTATATCATCGGCTCCAAGCTCTGCCCGTAGGCGATCAATCACAATCATGTCTCCTCAATATGAAACCCGACCCGGGTCGAAGAGAGGAGAACTCACACTATGCAATCATCGGGATATCACCTCAATCCAACTACAAACACACGCTCAACTTTATTCCGGCTCTCCGGAATAAAGTCTCACGCCATGCCAACTACCCGATTCCCTAATCACAAGCATTCATACGGGATTATATTTTAAGCATATATACACACGTCTTTACTTGTTATTCTGGTATACCAATTCTATTACATTCATTTCATTCTTTTATCCTTCGATCCGATCAAATTGGGTTCCGACCGTTTTAGATTACCAATTTAACTCGTTCTGAAGGTTTTACTTACCGTAGAATGGTTTCGTTCAAGTTTCGTGAGATTCGGGTAGGGAATGGGTCAAGGTAGGTCAAATATGGGGGTCGGTTGCATCGGATCTCACTCGATCCGACGACACGAGTCAAAACGGGAAAACAGAGACGTGGAACGGACGGTCCGCATAGGCTAGACCGGACGGTCCGAGAGGTCTGGTCCCGACGGTCAGGGCGAAGCTGGAACGGACGGTCCAGGACATGTGGAACGGAGGTCCAGCCTTCGTCTTCTTCCCCGAGACCCTGCAAGCCCTAGAACGGTCGACGGTCCAGGCCTAGACCGTTCGGTCTAGGCGAACCAGGAACTTCGGGTTCCAAATTTTCGCACCAAACTCAATCACCTATAGCTTAAAACAATCTAGAGATCATGGGGAACTCAAATCTAAAGTCAATTTCATGCAAATCACAATCAAGACACGCAAATCTCCATTTTCAATATAATTATCATTTTCGGACTTAACCCAAAACATTCACCTAGCTCAAATTCGAGCTTGAGCTTTGTTGGGGAGGTTTCCTAGAGTTGATTGCTGGGTTTATTGATTGATTTCGACCAAAATCGAAGCTCCAATCGAAGATTGAAGTTTCAGAGTTTGAGAGAGTTTGCGAGAAAGAGTGAGAGAGTGAAGTGAGAGGGAGAGGACGGAAGGAATGAGCGGACTTAGGCTCAATTCCGCGTTCCAGAGGAAGCAGGAGGTGTCCCGGAGCAAGCAGGAGGTGTCACGCGCTGGAAGAAGGCCGAAATTGCGGCCCGTGACTCAGCAGAAGGAAGAGGCAGCGCGTGAAATCTGGCCTAGCTCCGTCAGACCCGACGGTCTGGCTATACAGACCGGACGGTCTGCGTGGTCCAGACCCGACGGTCTGCACCGCTCAGACCCGACGGTCTGCACCGCTCAGACCCGACGGTCTGCTTCCCCAGACCGGACGGTCTGTTTACCAGACCGGACGGTCTGGCCCTTTTTTCCGCCCGTTTTCTCGCTCGGTTCGGTCCATTCCTTCGGTTTAACTTGATATAGGTTTAGGTCAATGTTCTAGGGTCATTTTTAGGCTTATATAAGGTCTCCTAAAGCTCGGTACGGGTAACGAATTCACGAGTTATCACACTTCTCATCTATGCGGTAGCCTTTAGGGCTATACTCCTCGATACGATCTCGGTACCGTGATAGTAAGGGGTCACTAGGTGGTCCCATGATCACTCGTTCCACCAACGTTGGAGTTGGTTCTTCTCGTTCCAACGTCAAATGTCCCAACATCGCAGTCAACTTTGCGGAGTTGCTGCGAGATGAAGTCACTGTACGGATAGCAGCCAAGATCCGTTTCCGGCTGAGTGCATCTGCTACCACGTTAGCTTTACCGGGATGGTAGGCGATCTCTAAGTCATAGTTCGCGATCAACTCTAACCATCGCCGTTGTCTTAGGTTTATATCCTTTTGGGATATCATGTAGGTCAAGCTCTTGAGCTTAACCTTCTCACCATACAGATACGACCTCCAATTTTTAGTGCATGAACTACCGCTGCTAGTTCTATATCGTGCGTTGGGTAATTCTCCTCATGTTTCTTCAATTGCCTCGATGCGTAGGCGATCACGTGTCCCTCCTGCATCAGCACCAGCGCCGTTCCTTCTGAAGACGTATGAGATGGTGGATGATTCGTCGACGGACGAGATCATTTCGTGGAGCGCCAACAAGAACAGCTTCATCGTCTGGAACCATCCGGAGTTCGCTCGCCTCCTTCTCCCGACCTACTTCAAGCACAACAACTTTTCTTCCTTCATTCGTCAGCTCAATACATATGTGAGTCTTCGGATTCAATGCTCCGTGAAATTCTTATCTTGCAGTTTAGGGTGATGATTTCTCCACTTCGTTGCGGTAATTCGAACGAAATTTTTGTCTGTTACTGGAATTGAGGTTGGGAATTAGTAGTATATTCCGGATTTTTCCGAGCCGGGAAAGGTTTAGAACTCTTCGTACAGTACACACGGTCGTGGTAATGCTAGAATAGGTGCTGAGGTTAAACGTTGTTTCAATTCTCGGAAACTAGTATCACATTCATCAGTCCACTCAAACTTGACATTCTTCCTTGTTAGCTTTGTCATAGGTCGTCCTATCTTGGCAAAACCCTCCACAAATCTTCTGTAATAACCTGCAAGCCCGAGAAAACTCCTAACTTCCATAGCAGAAGTCGGGGGTTTCCAATCCATAACTGCCTCAATTTTAGCCGGGTCCACCTGGATTCCCTGGGCTGATACAACATGACCCAAGAACCCGATCTCCTGTAACCAGAAACTGCACTATCTGAGCTTTGCGTATAGACGGTGCTCTCTCAATTTATACAAAATCTTCCTTAGATGCTCCTCATGCGTCTGCTGTTCCGGCGAATAGATGAGAATGTCATCGATGAAGATGATGACGAACTCGTCTAAGTAGTCCATAAATATGCGGTTCATCAACTGCATGAAGACCGCTGGTGATGTTCGTGAGGCCAAAGGGCATGATTACGAACTCAAAATGTCCATATTGGATCCGTAACGCCGTTTTCTGTATGTCCTCCTCCTTGACCCGAATCTGGTGATATCCTGATCGTAAGTCGATCTTTGAGAACCATTTGGCCCCCTGCAGTTGATCTAGTAGCTCATCAATCCTCGGCAGCGGGTACCGATTCTTGATTGTCACTTGGTTGAGCCCGCGGTAATCAATACATAGATGCATAGTCCCGTCCTTCTTTTTCACAAAGAGTACCGATGCTCCCCACGGTGAAACGCTCGGACGTATAAATTCGTTCTCCGCCAACTCATTCAATTGCTTCTTCAGCTCAGCCATTTCTGTCTGTGCTCGGTAGCACATCAATGCTGAAATCCACTTCCCTCCTCGGCAATATTCCCGGTAAATCATCCGAAAATACATCTGGAAATTCCCGAGCAATGGGTGTATCTTCCAATCTCCTCTCCGGTTCCTTAGTAACTGTGATAACCACTAGGAACGCATCGCTGCCCTTCCTAATCATCTTTTCAGCTTTCAGCGCCGAGATAATCGGGTCCGTCGATGGTGCTCCCCTCCCTCTAAACTCAAATCCTTCGGAATCTTCTTGAAACCAGGTCGTCCTCTGGGGGCAGTCGATATAAGCCTGGTATTTCGTCAACCAGTCCATGCCCAGTATGAGGTCATAGACTCCTATGGGTACCACAATAAGGTCTGCTGTCATTTTTCGGCTGCATATGTCAAGAGATACGCCACACAAAGCCCCTTGAACCGTAAGGGTTTCCCCTGCCGGTGTACGCACTGTAAAGTTACTCATTGGATCGACCTTTCCTGTACCGATTCTCTCCACTATGTCCGCGCTCACAAAACTGTGAGTCGCCCCAGTGTCAAATAATGTATAACAGGACACCCCGTATAAGCGAAGGGTACTTGCGATGTTTCTTTGTTACCTTCGCACTTAAACAGACAATAGTTACCCCGATTCAATAATAATACGATACCCGTATAGATAGAAGAGTACATGCGATCGCATCTGCCTCGACTCCATCTATATGAACCTCCTCCTCTTGAATCTCCTGCTCCGCTTCTAGAGCGTAAACCCTCGGGGCCACTCCAGCCCCAGCCGCAGGTCTCCAGTGGAGGTGGTGGTCTAGCCACTTGTGCTTGCAGCTCTGCGGTTCTCACCGTACAATATGCCGCATAGTGTCCTGGCTGTTGGCACCGATAGCAAACAGGTGGTCCTCGACGAGGTGGCGGAGGTAGTGCCTGGGTGACTGGCGCCTTACCCTTGTCTTGTGCTCGGCTACTCTGGCCAGTCTGACCGGTCTTCCCTGACGGACGCGTATAGGGGTGGCGTCTGGGAGGACTCCGGTCGTGGGCCCTACTGGCTCTCTCCTCCTTCTTCGCTTCCTCTGCCTTCTCCAGCTGGTCAATGCAATGGCTCAGAGTTCATAACTCGTGGAGTGCGACTCTCCAGCGAAGTGAGGATCGCAGTCCCACGACGAAGTTATTGATCTTCTGGCTCTCCCGTGGCACCAGATGCGTCGAATAATTAAGCATACGTACGAATTCAGCTTCATACTCCCTCACAGTCATGTTCCCTTGTTGCATGTTCAAGAACTCAGAGAGGCGACGTTCTTGATTCTGTCGGCGGTAATACTTCCTCTCAAATTCTTCCTTGAATTCCTCCCAGGTGAACTGATGTCCATCCGGCATCTCCTGTATCACATTCGCCCACCAATGTCGAGCTTGCCCGGACAAGTGATGGCTCGCTAGTAGTGCTCGATAACGTAGGGGGCACTGAACATATTACAGGTCCCGCACTACAAGAAAAACTGTTATTTACGACCACTATTGCGACCGAAATATCTGTCGCTCAAAATCTTGCGACAGACAACGACTAAATAGCGACAGAATTGCGGAAAATAATCTCTGTCGCACTCGGACACAAAATCTGTCGCACATTTACGACAGACGACGACAGACACGTCTGTCGCAATTTTTTGCGACGGATTGACGACAAAAAGCGAAGGAAATTTTACGACAGATAGTCTGTCGGTATATACCGACACAATTTGCGACAAAAATATCGGTCGAACAAAATGTACGACACATTTGCGACAGAACCTATGCGTCGCGCAAATGCGGCGACAGATATGCGACAGAAATAATGAGTCGCTAAATATTGGCGACAGAATTGCAATAGAGTCGGTGCGTCGCAAAATTAGGTATACACGTGATTGGTGTGTCGCCTAACATCTGTCGCAATTCTGTCGGATGTGTGTCGCAACAGCGTTACGACAGAATTATCGGTCGCAAATCCGTGACAACTTTTCTTCTATTAAACCACCGCGCGCTCAGTTTGTGAGAGTAAAGAAAAAAAATCCTTTTACCGAAAAAAAATTTTCTCTTACAGAAAAATGTCTTTCTTATCCAGAATGTGGATGTATAATAGATTTGATTCTTCTAATCAAATCTCGAGTGAGTTTGCTGAAGGATTACAACATTTTATGGCGTTTGCAACAAGTCAAACGTCATATATTGAGAGTTCGAAGTTACCATGTCTGTGTTCAAAATGCGAGAATAAAAGATGGCGAAATCAATATGAAGTTTGTAAGCACATGTATAGAAGAGGTTTTATGTCAAACTATTTTGTTTGGCTGACTCATGGAGAAACGTATGATACGTCGTCATCATCACATGTTTCACAAATGCAAGAACAACTTGTGCAAAACACGTCGCTACCTCCGATCTTTCAAGAAGATCAAGACCAGAATCTATATGCAGAGATGGTGAATGATGCATTTCCCAACGTTGCTCCTTCTCCATATATGGAGGAAGAGCCAAATGTTGAAGCGAAAAGATTTTATGACATGCTTAACACGGCGAACACTCCGATATATGAAGGTTGCGTACAAGGGCTATCAAGATTATCATTATCTTCACTGTTGATGAATATGAAGACTGACTACAATCTTCCAGAGAGATGCATGGATGGATTCAGTCAGATGTTTAAACAGTATCTTCCAGAAGGTAACACTGCAACAGAATCATATTATGAGACGAAGAGTCTGATGCGTACGTTGGGTCTACCTTACCGAAAGATTGATGTTTGTGAAGACAACTGTATGATTTTTTGGAAAGAAGATGCAGAATTGATGAAATGTCGTTTCTGCGGGAAAGACAGATATCGACCACGCCGGATAGCTTCAAAGAAAGGCAAGTTACTTCCTTTGAAGAGAATGTTTTATATGCCTATAACAGATCGTTTGAAAAGGTTATATCAATCCGAAAAGACAACATCATTTATGCGATGGCATGACGAGCATTCAACGCCTGATGGAGAAATGTATCATCCATCCGATGGTTTAGCATGGAAACACTTTCAACAGGTATTTCCTGATTTTGCAAGTGAGACTAGAAACGTATATCTAGCATTATGCACGGATGGATTTAATCCATTTGGGATGTCTGGTCCAAATTATTCTCTATGGCCGGTGATTTTAACACCCTACAATTTACCTCCGGACATGTGTATGAATAGAGAGTTTTTATTTCTCTCAATATTAGTTCCGGGACCTAAACATCCTAGAAGGAGTTTGGATGTTTTCCTTCAACCGTTGATAGAAGAGTTGAAAGACCTTTGGAGTATTGGGGTTGAGGCATATGACGTGTCAATAAAGCAAAATTTTTTGCTTCGTGCCGTACTGATGTGGACAATTAGTGATTTTCCAACATACTCGATGTTGTCTGGTTGGACAACGCATGGTCGTCTAGCTTGTTCGTATTGTATGGATGAGACCGACACATTTTGGTTGCCGAACGGGAGAAAAACGAGTTGGTTTGATTGTCATCGTCGTTTCTTACCAAGGAATCATGCATTGCGTCGGAACAAGAAGAATTTTCGTAAGAATCGAGTGGTAAGTGATTCTAGTCCGCTTGAACTGACGGGAGATGAAATATTATTCGAACTGATCGAAAATTGTGTGAGATCATATGGGTTAGGGGTTACTGCAGAAGTCGGTGGAAATGGTCATTTGCCGATTGAAGGATATGGCGAATATCATAATTGGCACAAAAAAGTATATTTTGGAAATTGCCATATTGTGGACATCACAAGTTGCGACACAATCTTGATGTCATGCATGTTGACAAAAACTTTTTCGATAACATCATAAATACGGTGTTGAATGTACCCCATAAGTCGAAGGACAATCCAAACTCAAGGAAGGATATCAAATCAATTTGTTTGAGGAAGGAGTTGGAACTTACACAAGATGGGAAGGCACCTGTTCCAGTTTTTCGTGTATTTGGAGAAGCGCGGAAGAATTTTTTTCGGTGGTTGAAGGATGATGTGAAATTTTCCGATGGTTACTCTTCAAATATGGCGCGATGTGTTGATATTGCAGGGAATAAATTAACGGGTATGAAAAGTCATGATTGTCATGTCTTTATGCAACGATTGCTTCCAATAGCATTTGCAGAACTACTTCCACAACATGTACTCGAGAGTCTATCAGGTATGGTCAATATATTTTTTTAATGTTATTTGTTTTTAAATATGTGAAATATATATATATATATATATATATATATATATATATATATATAAATTTGATACGTGGTTATTGTGTAGGGATCAGCTCATTTTTTCGGGTGATTTGCAGTCGGACGCTTAAACTTGAAGATATCATCATGCTGAAACAAAACATAGTTCTGGTAATTTGCAATCTGGAAAAAATATTTCCACCGTCATTTTTTGGCTTCTCAAGCAGATCAAGTGTGTTACATCCCTTATTCGAAGAAAATTACAAGAAGGTCAGACATTGATTGGCGAGCTGTCGTGAAGATCAACCCCAGGGGAACTATTATTCAAGTAGAAAATGATGAACAAGTCCCGCTTCAAGATGTCGATCAAGTCGTTCTTCAAATCGAAGACACGATTGAGGTTGGAAGGTTAATAGCCGAAGAAGGAATAGTTGAAGAGCTTGCAGACAATAATGACGAAGAGCAGGACAATACCGAATGAGTCGGACGAAAAAACAACAGAAAGTTCTAAATATGGTTCATTTGATTAATAAGTACTTTTTTAATGTCTAAAATACCGATTTGTATTTAATATTTTATTCGGAATGAGAATATTATGTGTTAATCTTTCTCATTTTTTTTAATTATTGCATTAATTTGCGACCGACTTCATCTGTCGCTATTTTTTTGTAAAAATATGTTGCGACCGAAATAATCTGTCGGTAAGCAGTCGTTCACAGAAGTCCATTCGTCTCTTGCCACGTGTCACGATCGCCTGATTTTTTAAACATTGCGACAGATGCTTTCTGTCGCAATTTCGTAAATTCTATCGCCAAATCCGTGTGTATCCCGCTTTTTTTTCATAGCGACAGATTGCGACCGAATAATGCGGTCGCAAATTCCACATGTATCCCCCTTTAATGACGAAGCGACATATTGCGACAGATTCGTTCGATCGCAACGTTGTTAAAAATATCGCGAATCGTCTTCTTCCTCAGACACTTAGACAGATTTTCCTCACACACCGTCTTCGCCGCCGTCTTCTCCTCCGCCGCTTTCGCTTCGCCGCCGCCACTGCCAGTCACCGTTCCCAGGTAAGTTCCCAAACTCGTGACTCCCCTCTTCTTCCCCTTTCCGATCGGTTTAGGGTTTAGGTTCGTGTTTCGATTCTTTCGAATCGGATTTCAACAGATTTGTGGCTGCCCTCCCACCCACACCGCCGCATCACCGCGTCGCTCTCCCCCACCGACACCGCCGCATCACCGCGCCGGAGGTTATGGTCCAATTTTTTTCGATTTTAAGGTGTTTTTGGTTCGGTTTTAAGGTTATGGTCGAATTATTTGAGGGTTTAGGGTTAATTTTAGGGTTTGGGGTTAATTTTAGCTTTTAGGGTTTCTTTTGGGTTTAAGGTTTATTTAGGGTTTAGGGTTATTTTTAGGGTTTAGGGTTAATTTTAGATTTTAGGGTTAATTTTAGATTTTAGGGTTTGTTTAGGGTTTAGGGTTAATTTAAAGTTTAGGGTTAATTTTAGGGTTTAGGGTTTTAGGGTTTTAGGTTTAATTTTAAGGTTTACGGTTTAGGGTTATTTTTAGGGTTTAGGGTTAATTTTAGATTTTAGGGTTTATTTAGGGTTTAGGGTTAATTTAGGGTTTAGGGTTAATTTTAGGGTTAGGGATTTAGGGTTTTAGGTTTACTTTTAGATTTTAGGGTTATTTTTAGGGTTTAGGGTTTTTTAAGGTTTAGAGTTAATTTTAGGGTTTAGGGTTAATTTTAGATTTTAGGGTTAATTTTAGATTTTAGGGTTTATTTAGGGTTTAGGGTTAATTTAGGGTTTAGGGTTTATTTTAGGTTTAGGGTTTTAGGTTTAATTTTAGTTTTAGGGTTTAGGGTTTATTTAGGGTTAAGGGTTTTATTTTAGAGTTTAGGGTTTTTTAAGGGTTTAGGGTTAATTTAGGGTGTAGGGTTTGTTTAGGGTTTAGGGCTCGTTCACGGGTTTTCATGATTTTGTTTTGTTATGTGTAACTTGTAGATGAGTCAATCTCATTCTAGTGGTCGTACCGGTAGCGGAATCCGATCCCGAGGGCGTGGGATTGGATCATCTAGATCACCATCTGTCCATCGGGATCAGGTGGTAGTCGATCCTCCTCGACTTGATGTACCTTTCACGGGTGCGGCTTCGCCCCAATCCG